CCTGAAATCTACTTCCCTGTAATTTAAACCCACTGTTTCTTGCCCTGTGAAACAATTCTGAACAATTCCATCCCCTCTTCTACATGTCAGTGGTTCAGATATTTAAAGACAGCTATCATACCTCTAAGCAGATATAAATATATATTACCCAGTGCCTCTAACTGTTCTTCATAAGGTTTGGTTTGGTTTGGTTTGGTTTTCCCCATCCAGGCCCTTTATTCCAGTGTGGTCCAATGCAGAAGAGAGGAACAAAAGCCTCCCTTGATCTACAATACTTCTACTGATGCAACCTTCTACTGATGCAAACTATACTTCTACTGATGCAACCTAGGATTACATTTGGTTGGATGGGAAAAGTTAGTATATGAGCTTGTAGCCACCCATCATATTATTATTTTCAAAAATCTTTTATGTACCTATGTGGTGCTCAAAAGCATTCTTCTAAATAGAAGGGATGCAAGAGGCTGGTGCTTTCCTTTTTCATTTACTTATTAAAACAATCTAAAAACCATTTAGATGAAGCAGAGAATCAGCCAGGCACCATGGGAAGTGTCCTTCAGCACATTAGTGCCCATGGGCACCAAGTTGCCTACGCTTACGTTTGGGATTTAAAATGTGGTTGATCTATTGATTTTTCAGAAGTAATGTATGCCTATTTTTCTTTTCCAATTAACTCCTGCAAGACGGGGGGGGGGGGTTGCCTTTGTTCACAGGATTATGCTTTGCTTTTTTGCGCTGATGATATTAGTATCTAAAAATGAAACTTTCATATTTGATTATGAGTCACTACATCCCTCAGTTATGGGACACCCTACTTGGATATATTAATTGCTCCAGATATGGCATGTTAAGAACAGGTTTCCAAAGAAAGAGGTATCTCCCATTTTCTTGCCTTTCTGTTTATACTATAGCAAAGCGTGCAGCTCCTGATTGTGTGGCCGTTGCAAAGAATGTCTTCAAGTTCATTTTCCTTCCTTTCTCTTCCTTGACAGTTGCAGAATAACGGTTCTTTTGTCTGGGGCTCATTTTCTGCTAATCTCAAAACATGAGGGTGTAGTCAGAAAGAGGCGTGGAACAATTGAAACTTAGCAAAAAAAAAAAATGCTCTGAGATCAATTTTAACTGTCAAGATGGGTCGATCCATTTAACAAAACCGGAATTTCTGTCTGAATCAGTTTTATGATATTACTATCTTGTGGTTAAGGGTTTTGTTTTTCTGTTATGCCAAGCAAAAAGATGACAGTTCCTTTTGGGGATCTTATATAATCAGCAACATATATATCACTGTCTTAAAAACACAGAAAAAATAAAAAGCTATTTATAGCAGAATCAGCCAACCTGTCCATTTATTTATTTAAAGCACCAATATCTTATTCCTGAGAAGGTTTTCTGGAACAAATTACAGCTGAACAAAACACAAAAAAGCCTTGTGCTTACAACTGATCCTTTGGCTTACAGATTTTGTATTGCATGCATTGAAAAGGAGAAGAGATGGGGAGAGAAGAGGGGAAGGGAGGGAAGGTGACCAGGAGTTCTTAAGGAAATGTAGGGATCTTGTAATTATTGTAATTGATTTGATTGATTGTAAGCAGTTATTGTAATTTCTTTGACTGATTGTTGTGAGCTGCCCAGAGTCATTGAGAGTTGGGCAGCATACAAGTTTAATAACAACAGCAACAATGTCCACTATCCTGGAGACAGCAGAATAGAAGAGAAAGAACTGAAGAAAATCTGCAAATAGAATGACTATGGCAAAAGAAAGCAAAGATAGTACCAATAGTAATAGGTGCCTTGGGTGCAATCCCAAAAACGTCTGGAGCACCACTTGAAGACCACCAGCATTGACAAAATCACAATTAGCCAATTGCAAAAGGCAGCTTTACTTGGAATAGCTTTCATCCTGCGACGATACCTTTAACACCATCAACAACAACATCGGCCTATCCTAGGTCCTTGGGAAGGACTCAATAGGTGGATAAAAATGCCAAATCCAGCCTAAACATCTGGCTGACTGTGTGACCAACAATAATAACATAATAACAATAAAATGATGTCTGCTCTGACTGATAGCAGTTCTTACACATTCTCATGTAGACATTTCTTGTATCCACCTTGCAAGCTGGAGATGCTGAGGACTGAACTCAGAACATCCTGGCAACAAGGCATGTGTTCTTTAACTGATCAACAGTACTTTCCCAGGAAGTTTTTGTCAATGTTGTATATAAGAAAACAGCCTGACTAGGAATTAGGGAGACAGGATTTCCTTAAGGACACTGCTTGTCTTTTATTTCAAAAAGGAAAAGAAAAAAACAGTGTAGTAGCACCTTTTCCGTCTAACAAATTTTATTAACAGGCATAAATATTGGTGAGCCACAGGTCACTGCATCAGATGCATAGAGTCATAGAGATACAGTTCACATGAGAAGCTAATTGAAAAAGGTACTACCGGACCCTGATTTTTGGCTACTGTAGACTAACATGGCTCCCTTCCTACAATGTCTTCAAGAAGCCAGTCTGCTGCTCATATCTCATACTTTGAACCCAGGTTGCTGCACAGAGGGAGTAATGACTCTCTTGTGCACCTGATGTAGCCATTGTCAGCACTTGCCTGGGAATCTCATTTCCACAAAAGAGAAAGAGAGGGAAGAGGGGGAAGATAGGTTAGGGGCAATCCCTACTGCCTGTGCTACAGATATGGCTAGGCTTCCCTTTCCCTGATTGCCAAGTAGAAGTGGTTGCCCCAGCTTAGAGGAACAAGGGGATGGCATATTCCCACATTGCCTTAGTTGAGCATGGCAAGAAACAGGATAACGCATCTTGACTCTAGCACTGGGGCAACAGGCTGCTCTAGTTTTCAGGGGGTTGCATGAGAGGAAGGAACAGAATATTTTCACAGAAGGGAAGGAAGGCCATGCAACAGCCATCTTCCTGGGCTTCAAGCCATAAATAATGTTTGCTTGGGGATGGGGAGGATGGCACTGCCTGTTGCCCTGATCTTTTTCCATTTGGCAGTTCAGAAGCAGCATGACCCATTCATTGAGTTCATACGTCCTGTCAAGATATAGTACACCCAAATCATCATGCTGTGTTTTAATTAAGTTTGTGAAAGAAGCTCACAGATCTTGCTTATCTGGTTTGAGCTTAAAGTGTGATATGTTAAGGCTTGTAAGCCATGTTTATGGCTTAGCATAGGGATGAGCAGGCCATTTGCTATATATGCCCCCATCCCTCCATTGGGTACCCTGAGAACATGTCACTGAATTTTGGCAATAAAAGAGATGAATTATCTTCATTCATTGCTTAAAATTAATGGGGAAGTTGGGGATCTCCCACTTACAATTCCCAGTCTTTACCACCCAAATATAAAATAATGGTCCAAGGCCATTGTTTTCATCCCAATTTCATCTTGTGTCTTCCCAGGGTTTTATTTGTGGGAATGAAGGTTGGAGACCATACCCATAACCTCACCCCACCGCCGCAGTTTCAAACCACCTGTGGGGTTGGAGTGGCTTTAAAGGAAGCAATAATGCAATTTGTAATCTAAAAAGCATCAGCAAGATGCCAAGCTGGGGAAAATTTCTGCCCCAAGAATCATTGACCATGCACATGTGTGTGCCTACCAGCCTGTAACATCTACAATGCCTTGTCCCTGGCTTCAGAGGGAAAGGAGAGTTTACTGAAGACAGCACACAGTCATTTCCTGCAACTTCTCTATTAACCACTTTGTTTCACCAATCAGGGTGGTAAATCATTAAAATGAAATGCCTTCATTCACTGCTCATGATCTGCTATTGTTTTTCACAACTTTTCTGGGTAAACTTTCAATTCTAATTGACTGGTCTTGTGGGGAGGGAGGGTATTGAAGTGGTTGGTTGTCATTTTTAGCTGTTACTCTGTTGTAACTCATCCAGGTTCCTCTGATTGGAGCAGGAACATACAAGCAAAAATGTGATGAAGTGATTTATCATGCAGAGATATCTGGAAAGGGGAATAGTAATTCCACATTAATATACAGTGGTGCTTAAAAGTTGGCGAACCCTTTTGAATTTTCACTAATTCTGTATAAATATGACCTAAAACATGATCTATTCTCCACACATAAAACCCAATGAAACAAATGAGTCAAAAACATAATAGTGCTCTTTCGATTCCTCCTGAAGGGAGTGAAAAAGCAGGATCTGACCTACCCAAAGGTTAAGAATTTCAGGGGCCAGAGACCAGCTCTTAGCTCCTCTTTTCTTGCACTTGTTTTGAACGGGAGAGGAGCATTAAAACGAAAATGGGATGGCAAATCGGGGACCCCAACACGGAGCCGGAGGAGGTGGCAGGAGACTTCGGCAAAGTCTAGGGAAGCGACGCTAAGGCGACCAGCCGGCACGTTGGTGTCTCCAGCAAACCACCTTTCGCGCGTCCTCCCCCTCACCCGCTCTGCGGTTGCCAGGCTCCCTCCCCCCGCGTGCACCTTCCCCACATTTAAAAAAAAAAAACCTAGACAAAACTTTGAGAGCACGGCCAGAGGCGGTGGAAACAGGTGTTAACCCTTCCGCGGCCAGACCCGGGTTAAGAACTGCCTGGTGAAATCAGAGCGGCCAGACCGGGTGGCCTGGTCGCCGGCTTTCCCCTTTCCCTCGCTGACTCCAGGCTGGGCACGATGGCAAAGCCCAGCAAGAGTTAAAGTCGTCTCCGCCGCGCGAGAGAAATAGGAACCTCAAGGGGTGGAGACCACGCTGGAAAGGAAAACGTTTCCAATGAGCTCAGGAGGCAGCCCTGCTTTTGTTATGCAAGGGGGGCGACGGGTGGGCCTGGCGCGAGGTGAAGGGTGAGCGATGCAGCCTCCTCCAGCGAGAGCGGCGCCCCGGGCGAGCGAGGTAAGAGCTGGGCGAGGGTCTCGCGGGCTTTGCTCGAGTCAGAGGAGCGTTTGCGAGAGAGGCTGAAGCGCCTCGCTTCCGGGCCACTTTGAAACACGCCGAGTGGGAAAAGCGGCCGCAGCGTGAGTTCGTCTGCAAGCGGCTTCGGGCACGGCGAGGGCTTTTAACACCTCCTTGTGCTGGTGGTGATGCGTCCGCTGGCAAAACTCCGAATCCCCGGGGAATAGGACCCAAGGACTGGCCTTACAGGATCATCCATGGAATTAGTTGAAGTTTAAGCCGTTGTTACCCGGTATGTGTCGCTTGGGCTGTAAGCGCCGCTTTGTTCACTAGCATTTACTTCCACGAAAGCGTGCATAGGGGCGCAGCCTTCAGCTCCCTGCTTTGACACTTGCCCTTTTCCCTCTCGAGCGCGAAGGCTGGCTTTTTCCCCCCCC